TGTGGCGGTGTCAGTAGTCCCAGCTACTTGGGAGGCTGAGGCAAGAGAATCGCTTAAGCCCAAGAGTTGGAGGTTGCTGTGAGCTATAATAGCACTCTACAGAGGGTGACATAGTGAGACTTGTCTCAAAAAAAAAAAAAGATGGCACTTGTCCACTGGGCTGCGACTACTTGTCCAGCTGGACTATATGAAGTGGTAGCTGGGAGGGCACAAAGCAAGCCCAAGCAGCAGTAAGTCCGTCCCTAGCAGACTGAAGTTGTCTGGAAACTTGTCCAGGACTATGGAGCTCAGAGGTAGTAGCTACCTGGCCCTTGGCTTAGCATGGGAAGTTGAGAAAGGCCTCACTGGGGTCACCATCACTGTCCCCTCATGGACTACAGAGATTTTGGGGAATGCCCTCCAGCCCAGCAAGGCTTTCTCTGGTGTAGGCCATGATGTCCCACCATCATTCCTCACGGGCTAGACAAGCCATGCTGGGCCCTGGCTCTGATATCCCTGTTATTTCTGGCACCTACTCTCATGGCCATAGCAGCCTCACCAGCACTGGAGCTTGCAGGTCCCCTTATGGCCACGTCAACTGATCCAGACCACTGCCCTGAAGGGGCCTCACCACCCCTAGTCCCATCTGGGCTCCATGGTCCATCATAAAACACACTCCCATTTGTGGGACCTCCTCCTCCAATCTAGCACTTCCTGCTCACCCCTAAGCAGCTGAACACAGACTGGAGAAAGGCCAAGGCCAGGTGGGGCCCTTGTGTCTAGCACAGTGGTTCTCAACCTTCCTAATGCCGTGACCCTTTAATACAGTTCCTCATGTTGTGGTGACCCCTAACTATAAAATTATTTTCATTGCTACTTCATAACTGTAATTTTGTTACTGTTATGAATCATAATGTAAACATCTGATATGCAGGATGGTCTTAGGTGAAAGGGTCCTTCAACCTCTAAAGGGGTAGCGACTCATGGGCTGAGAGCCGCTGTTCTAGAGGCCTATGTGAGATGCCTGTTTTCCCACCAGGCCTGCTTGTCCTCCTGAGGCACAGAAGCTGATGGACATGCCATCCCACCTCAAACTGACCTGGATCTTCCCCCCAGTGGGGCAAGATGGACATCGCCCTCCCACATCTCCCCTGCCTAACTCAAAAGGCCCCTTCCAACCGCACCCCTCCAGCCTCTGCCTTCCCGGCTTGATCCACACCACCACTCAAGTGCCTTTGCCAAGGTTGTCAGGGGCCTCCAGGCTGTCGAACCTCAGTCACTGCTCTGTTCTCAGCCTCTTCTCTCTGGCTCCCCTCTGTATGCTGGCAGGTGAGCTCACCTATCTCTGTAGAGCAAGGATTCATGCCATCTAAGCATAGGGCTCACGTTCTCAATCTCCACCTTCCCGACACAACTCAAACTTGTAATCCCTCACAAAACCTGCTCTTCAGACTCCCTCTCCTGCCTTATGGAGGCCCTCATTTGCTCCCCAGTTCTAGCCAAAAACACAAAGTGCATGGGACACTTTTCTATCCTTTAGTCCCAATCTGGTTCTTGTCCCCAAGCAGTTGTCACCTCTGGATCTGCTCCTCCTTCCAGTCACCACCTTCTCTGGGGTGATGTTGTAGCCAGTTCCCACTTCAACTGTCTCAATGCACCCCCTGCACATGCTCCTGGCCATGGCCTGCAAGGGTCTCTGTGGTCTGGTCCACCCACACACGGAGCCTCCCACAGCCAAGCACCTTTTGCCTGAGATCTCTGCACTCTGCAGACACTGGCCTCTGCCTGAAGTGTGTGGCTCCTTCATGCCCCTACTGCAGACTCCTGCAATTTCATCCACATTTGTCAAAATATATAATAGCTCCTGTGCCTGCTTCTGGCTGTGCACCTGTCTACACTGAAAGCTCCAAGAGATCGGGGTCACTGTCCCTCTCTTCATCATGCCAGGAGCTAAGTAGCACTAAAGGATGACTAAGACACCTCTTCTGTCTTCAAGGAACACTCCCCATATGCCTGTGTGCTCTGATGGAGGGACTTACATTTCCGTAGCGCCTTCTGGTACCGCTGGCCCTGGGTATGCCTGAGCACGTGCTCGGGGGACTTATTGATGTGCCGCAGGGTGAGTTTGCAAAACAACTGGTGCCTACAGGGCAGGGAGACCCAGGTTGGTATGGGCAGTTACAGCAAGGACCCAGACCAGAGCGTGACAGCACTTAGAAAGCTCCTCCCCCAGACAAGGAAGCACCCTTTAGGGAAGGCAAGGGAGATATGTGGCCTGGACTTCAGGAGTTGTAAAGGTCCCCAAGCAATTCCACTCTACAGCCAGGGCAGGGAGCTGCAGACTTAGGCTGACTGTGGCTGCTCAGAGTTTACCCGAAAAATTGGCACAGCCAGGCTCACGCATTACTCCCAAGATGACTTAACTCAGAGTGGTACACTCAGCCTGACAAAACTCAGCGCATGGGAGCACTCACCACCCCATCTCCAGGCTGAGATGACCGTCAACCCTACACTGTCACCTAAATCAAAGGTCCCTTCCGAGGCAATGATGATAACGTGGCCCGGATCACACCTCCCTCATGTGCCCCACACTGCACCAGGTCACCGCAGCCTGGATCCCAGGGCTCCTCTGCCCTGTCTCCCGGAGGAGGGCGCTCTGAAGTTCGCCCCTGAGTCTTCCGGAGGGGCTCGGGCAGCGGGGCCCAGGGAGCAGCTGTCCTGTGTCCTGACTCCGCCGCCCCACCGCGGCCACCTACGGGTTCTTGGTGCTGGGCACGATGTGCGGCTCAAACTCGGCGTAGTCGAAGGCCGCGGAAGCGCGGATTAGCCGCTGGTACTTCTTGCCGCGGGTGTAGACCTGGAGCTCGGGCAGGCGGCAGGGCAGCTCGTGGCCGGTCAGCGAGCACCTCACCTGCGGGTTGACAGGCGGTCGGGGGCAGCCCTTTCCCCTCCCCTCTCGCGCCCCACGCACCCTACCCCGCGTGTCCCCCCCTCGCCACGGACCTTGCGGGCGCCCGGCTGCAGCCGCAGGCTCGGGTGCTGGCGCAGGAAGGCCCGCACGTCGCCCTCGGGTTCGACCATGGCCGGATAGCTCCCCAGGCGCCCCTCCCACCACGTGGAGCTGGGGGCGGGGCTGGGCGGTGCCCCGGAAGCAGAAGTGTCCCGCGCCCCGGAAGTGCCCGCGGGCCGGGATGCAATGGCCGCGACGGCGGCGCTGCGGCTGGGGTCGCGGTTCGCGTGCGTGGGGCGGGTAAGCGCGGGGCCTGGCTGGGCGGGAGGGGTGGGCGCGGCACGGGGACGGGAGGGCGCTCAGCCAGCCAGCCTGCCTGTCCCTCTCTTAGGCCCCGGCCCGCGCTGCCTGGAGGAGCGTCCTTGGGGTTCTCCCTCGCCCAGGTGAGGAGACTCGGGCTGCGCCGTGATCTTGCCGCCGGTGAAGAGCACCTGCCTTCCGCCCCGGCGAAGGGGTTGTGGGGTTGAAGTGAAGCTGCGGCCGCGGCTGGGCCTAGGCTCCCCGGAAAGTAGCGGAGTGACGTTGCACTTCACGTGCCTTTGATGGCCTTAGGCTGTACCCTGAGCGCCACTCAGCGCGCTGTTCTCCCGTAGTCCCCGCGCGGGAAAGGATCCAATGCTGAATTCCCAGCGTCTAGTCCAGCTGATGAGTGGCCGACCCAGGATGGACACGCAGGACTCTGGGAATCCAGAGTAAAGCGCGTCTGGCTGCCACACTCACACGTCTCCTTTCAGTGCACGGCAAAGGATATTTTGCTTTGAGTAGACGCCCGGCACAAATGAAGGGTATTCTGTAAGCCTGGCTCCAACCACTCGGCCCGTGTTCCTTTCCACTGGCAGGACTCTGTGCGTGCATGATGAGCAGCGAAGAAAAAAAGCTAGTAGGAGCTCTGAGCCACTACCCTGAGCTGATACCATCTTTCCCTGAATAGCACAAAGCCAGCAGTACCTGCCTAAGCTGCTTACTTACTTTTTGAGTAAATGACAGAGTGAGTGAATACCATGCATCTTAAAGCAATAGAATACATCTTAGCATATCCTCAAATAAAGAGGCATGAGTTGGTTACCTGAGTTACCCTGGGTCATGCATGGTTGGTGGCCAAGCCAGCACAAAGCCCTAGATCTCGTTTATTCAGTCTTCAAACATCTACTGAGCTTATGCTGTGTTCCCCTATTCGGGGCAGGGTTAGGCGCTGGGTCGGACACAGGCAGGTTCTTCATTTTGGCACCGTGCAGCAGGGTTTGGTCTGTTCATTCCTGTACCATGTCTCAGGCAATATTGGTGGAGTCTTATTGTGAAAATGGCTGCTAAGTTCTGTTTGGTGTAGGGCTTCGGACCCCTTGCCCCATGTTTTGAAACTTTCTTCAGGAGTGGCCTGGAGGCCAAGCAGATGTGGCAGTTCTGCAGCAGAAGCACGTGCCCCAAAAGTGGAAGAGGACTCGTTTCTCCAGTGGTTCCTGCTTCTCATTCCTGTGACTGCCTTTGGCTTGGGGACATGGCAGGTAAAGATTGGCATTTGGCTTGGATGACTTCAAACCCTGGACCCTGCTGTTATCTACTCTGCCTTGTGCTGTTTCTGTAGGTCCAGCGTCGGAAATGGAAGCTGAAACTGATCGCAGAATTAGAGTCTAGAGTTCTGGCAGAGCCTATCCCTCTGCCAACAGAGTGAGTGTGGCTGCCCACCTGGGCCCTATCTTATTTGAGATCCACAGTGGGGCCTGGCTTCAGCTGGACCCTCTTGATGGTACCTTTATCAAAGTCACTTCCTTGAAGATGAGTTATCCCGCTAGGCTTGTTGTTGACCCTTTACTGCCTTTGTGAAGCTACATGAGGTCCCCTGACATTAGTAGAAAAATCTTATTTTTGATCCTGGTTATTACCCTTTTTTTTTAAGTTCATTATAGTTGAGGAATTCTCCCACAGGGCCCATGACCCTGTACTGTGGTGATTCTTAGCTGTGGCAGAGGACTGGTGTCATGTTTTCATGTGACAGCAATATTTAGAAAAGGGCCCAGACAATCTACTATCCTCTTCCACTTATTCAAAAGCACTGACCCAGAGAGAGGTACATTCAACAGTTTTTCATTCAGGTAGCAAACCATGTGCTGTATTTGGCTTGCAGAAACAGCGTTAGCTCAAATATTTTATTAATTTTAGTATTTGTACAGGAGTCCACATTTTTAACTGCTTTTGAAAAACTGGATTCTAGTAGTATACATCCATATTCCTACATGGTATCAAAGGGCTGGGGCTATAACCCCTTCAGAGGGGATGCCCTCCAATCCCACAGACTTTTAAGCCTGCCCTTCACCTTCCCATGTTACCCATCTGGTCCTAGTGGGCTTTGTAGTGTGTGGCCCATCAGGGGATTTTTCTGTCAGACCTCCTTCAGCCACTGTTCTTCTCTGTGCAGCCCAATGGAACTGAAGGCACTGGAGTATAGGCCAGTAAGAGTCAGAGGGCATTTTGACCACTCCAAGGAGCTCTACATGATGCCTCGGACCATGGTAGACCCTGCCCGGGAGGCTCGAGAGGCTGGCCGAATCTCCTCCTCAGCTGAGAGTGGGGCCTATGTCATCACTCCCTTCCATTGCACTGACCTGGGGTGAGTCAGCCATGTGGGGAGCCACCCTGGAGGTTGCAGTCAGGTGTACTAATTACCACAATTTCTTTTCTCACCCCAGGGGTGAAACCTTGGGGACTCCAAGATACCAAGAAAGGTTCAGTCCTTTGTAGAGTGGGGAATTGCTAAGTGCGACCCTGAGTGAGCTACCTTCTTAGTTCACCTGACTTATGTGTGTTTGGCTCTGGGGAAATTGCCCAGTGCCCCACCTGTGAATTGCTTGTGCTGGGGCAGCCACAGTGGCTCATGCCTATAGGTCCAGCATCAGAAATGGAAGTGGAAACTGACTGCAGAATTCCAGCACTCTGGGAGGCCAAGGTGGGAGGATCACTTGAACTCAGGAGCAAGTCAAGAGCAAGACCCTGTTCTCTACTAAAAGTAGAAAAATTACTACTCAAGCGTTGTGGCAGTCAACCTGTGTTGCTACTTGGGAGCTAAGGAGGGAAGATTGCTTGTGCCCTCAGCTACTTGGGAGGCTGAGGAGGGAAGATTGCTTGAGCTCAAGAGCTTTAGGTCACAGCACTCTACCCAGGGCAATAGAATGAGACTGGCTCAAAAAAACCATAGCCTGGTGCAGCATGAGTGACAGCAGAAGAAACTCAGCCCTCCTCAGAGGGAGTTAAATTGGAGGGGGCTCCCCAGCGAGCTGTTTGGTCCAAACCTTCAGGAAATGGGACAGCATTATAGACAAAGGAAATAACAGATATGAGAATACCCATATAATTAACTGGGGAACTAGAGGATGAACACACAAGTGAAAATACGTGGGGCTTTTATTCATTAACCCACAGGTCTCTTGAGTTTTAGGCCTAGGCTGGGCCCTAAATTCTGTTACCACCAGGCTGAAGTGTGCCAGGGTGGTTCCTGGGACTGCCCTGTTTGAGAGGGGGTTCAGGGCAAGGTGGGCATCTGAACTCTGGCCGTGGCACTTGGTCACAGACTGTGGGTGCAAAAAGGAAAGCAGAAGGGAAGATTTACCGGAAACCTTTAAACCAGGCTGGGAAATAAAGGGGAGGGCTTGAGGCTTTCACCAACCAAGGGGGCTTAAAAGCTGAGGACTCCCACAGTGTGGCCCTCTAGGTCCAGTTCCCACTGACTCAAGTCTGTCTTAAAAACCTTGGTGCTAGGCAAGGCATGGTGGCTTACGCCTGTAATCCTAGTACACTGGGAAGCCAAGGCAGGTGAATTGCTAGAACTCACAGGTTCAAGACCAGCCTGAGCCAGAGTGAGACCTTGTCTCCAAAAATAGCCAGGTGTTGTGGCAGGCACCAGTAGTCTCACTCAGGGGAGGCTGAGACAAGAGAATTGCTCGAGGCCAAGAGTTTGAGGTTGCTGTGAGCAGTGGTGCCATGGCACTCTACCAAGGGCAACAAAATGAGATTCTTTTGTCTCCAATTAAAAAAAACCATACAAAACAAAACCTGTGGTGCCATAGTTATCAGTTGATAATCATTGTTCAAGAACCTTTCCCCACCTGAAGTAGCATCATTTCACTATTCTAGAGCCACAATCCTGGTCAATAGAGGGTTTGTTCCCAGGAGGAAGGTGAATCCTGACACCCGGCAGAAAGGCCAGGTAAGGGACAGGGCATTTTCCCTCTTTCAAAAAGAGCTTTTGGAGTCATTCAGTCTCCACACGGCAGTCTCACATTTTCCTTCATAGATTGAGGGAGAAGTGGACCTAGTTGGGATGGTAAGGCTGACAGAAACCAGGAAGCCTTTTGTCCCCGAAAATAATCCAGAGAAGAACCATTGGCATTATCGAGACCTGGAGGCCATGGCCAAGATGACAGGCGCGGACCCCATTTTCATTGATGCCAATTTCCGTACGTTGTGACTAGACTCAACCACCCTAGAAATGTCAAAGCACTTCCTAGTTACTTTTGGGCCCTTACCATCTTGGGGGGTGGGATGGGAGGTAACATCTCAATAGCAGAGAGACATTCTGCATGGCAAGTTCTGGGGAGAGGCGGCCACACACAGGGCTGGCAGGTCCTAAGTGAAAGCCCTCACTGCTGGGGAACTGGCAGGACCAGATTGCGAGGAGTCTGTCTCCGCAGAGAGCACAGTCCCCGGAGGGCCCATTGGCGGGCAGACTAGAGTCACCCTGAGGAACGAGCACCTGCAGTATATCCTTACCTGGTGAGTCCCGGCTGTCCTCTGGCTCCCACCCCTTCAAAACACTGCCCAGCCTAGCACTTAATTTTTTTTCCACCCAAGGTACGGACTCTGTGCAGCCACCTCATACCTGTGGATTAAGAAATTTCTCTATCGGACACCTGGCATGTGATGACTTGGCCTTGTACATAGATAATTAGGAAGTTGCTAAACAGGCGAAAGCAGGTTGATCTTACTAGATCGCGTACCACTGATGAAGCCCTGACTTCTTCCTGACTTAACAGATGACTGATCGACTATAAGATCCTGGTTTTGTTTCAAAGCCTGTCTCAAAAATTCTAAAATGGCTTGGTCAAAACCTGACTGGCTCTACAAAAATAAATGGTGGTGTGCACTTGTTAATCACAGCTACTTTGGAGTTTGAAGATCCCTTGAGTTCAAGGTTATAATGAGTTCTGGTCAAAATAATGCTTTCCCAGCCTGACTCCTTCCCCTCCCCAAAAAACTGACAGGTATGTTACATTATTAGAGGACTCTGAACCCTGTGAATAGGAGATGCTACCCCTGGATTAACAATTTACTTGACAACCCCAAATCCAATTGCTTTCAACCCCAAAGATGCTCCAGATGTTGGCTTGAATATTTATTATTTTTATGTACAGAAAACTCAACAGTGTACGTTTAGCCCAGTTTAGTGGCAAGTTCTTTAGCCTTAGCCTTTTCCAGCTTGGCAATGCGAGCCACAGACTTCGGACCCAGGACATTGCCTCCCCAGTGACGGCGGATCTGAAACAGAAGAGGCAGCAGTTCAGCCTGACCTGTCATTTTTGGAGATTTTCAAAGCACGTTACTTTCCTATCTGGCTATCACAGGATAAGAGCCAGTTTGGGGGGAAAAATGATAGTACTTTGTGTAAAACTGCCTCTTGCTTCTTACCTCGTCGTATCTGTCGTTGTAATTGGTCCTGATGGCTTCCACCAGCTTAGCTAGAGCTCCTTTGTCTTCCCTAACAGAGCAAGGGAAGGAAACATGGCATTTTGGCCTCTTAGTGCCCCTTCTAGAAGGAAAATGCCTCCATTTTTAGCTCAAAATGGCCTTTTGCCTCAGATACGAAGTGACCACATAGTTTATTCAGGTGAAGAAATTCTTAACCATCATTGGCAAAGTCTCTAAACCTGAGGGATGCTTTAGGCGAACTGGAATCTGGGGTCACATACTTACGAGTTAACCTGCGTGAAGGCCACAGTGGTGCAGGTTTTCCTGTGGACGAGACGCCCCAGCCTGGCCTTCCCCTTGATAATGCAGTAAGGGACCCCCATCTTCCGACACAGGGCAGGCAGGAAGACAACCAGCTGTAACAAAGTGTTAGCTGGGGACCACATTCAAGTGATGTTCAGGGTTTAAAAGCTCACATATTTGCACTTCACAGGGTAATTAATTCAGTGAGAGATTTACACCATTGCAAGAACCACATCCAAGTTAAGTCCCTTGCCAGTACTGTCCTCAAATAAACTGGCAACTAACTGTCCTGATCACCTGCCCCATGCCAGACTCAGCATTAAACCTACCCCATCTTCTAGGCAGGGTCTCTAGCTTAACAGAGGACAGAGACCCTGAGTTCAACACACACAGTACTAAAGCAGTGCCACAAGTACCTCAATGGGATCCACATCATGTGCAATCACCACCAGCTGAGCCTTCTTGTTCTCCACCAATGTGGTGACAGTATTAACCCCTAGAACACAAATAGCCACTCTGCATGAGCACTTGTGGGAGCTGCTCTGGTCACAAAACAGTTGTGGCCATGTGGGCCCAGCTGTGACTCAGTGTTAAAAAGCTCGATTTTACTCTCCACAGTGATTTCAGGTGAAGACATTTGTACATCATTGCAGCAGCCTGCCCCACAGTTCACACCTCCTCCCTCCCCTCCCAAGGGAGGCACCCACTCACCTGCTCTAAGGACAGGTGGTCTCTTAGTGGGGACATCCCCTTTGCCCGCAGCTTTCTTCTCAGCCCGGGCCAACAGTCGCTGCTTCTTCTCTTGCTTTGTTTCTGGTCTGTACTTGTGGGCCAGTTTAAGCAGCTGAGTGGCTATGAAAATACTTTGGGTTAGGCTTTAGTTGAAGTTCAGATCCACACCCTCAGTGTAATATAAATACTAGACCATTATTCTGGGATGATATAATAACAACAATCAATATAAAAACAACAATCAATAAACAATCATTAAAGAAAAATGTAAGGTCATGGACACAATCTCTTCAGTTAGACCACCCTCCCACTCTGCATAATAATAAACCCACCCACCTGAAGATCCCCTCTCCCTTTCCCAGATCATTATCCTATTAACTTTGTCAATGGTGCTGTTACACTGGCTTCATTATCCTATTAACCGTGTCCCTGCCCTTCCAAAGGCTGGTTCCTACCACTCACCTGTTTGGCGGTCCAAGGCCTGGGTGAACTGATTAATGGCGGGAGGTACTTTCAGCCGCTTGTAGAGGATGGCTCTTTGCCGCTGCAACCGGATGTAGCGGGGCCATTTGACAAAGCGAGTGAGGTCCCTCTTGGGCTGGATGTCCTGCCCTGAGGAGTAAGGTCAGCACCATGAGCGTGGCGCAGAACGCTGTCAAGTGCGTGGTTAGCGCCACTCTCAACGGGAATGGTGCATCAGCGATCTTGGTGGTTTAAGATGTCATCACCATTGCGCAGATAGCAAATATTCTCTCACATCATCTGCACACAAACACCCGCAGCCAGGGCGGTACAGGGTATGCGGCGCCGCCGCTCCGAGCCGGCAGGGCCGACGGGCTCGACCCCAGACCTCCCAGAGCGCCCTAGGCAGACCGCGCTGCCCCCCTCGCACTCACCAATGCCAAAGTTCTTCGGCCTTTTCTCGAACAGAGGATTCACTACCTTCTTGGCCTCCTGCTTCTTCACTACGGCGGGGGCCGGGGCCACCTTCTTCCCCTTGGCCTTCTTTCCTTTCGGCTGGGAACAAAGAAAATCCCTGTCAAGCGACCGCCTCTTCTCGGGAATTCAGAGTGGACTCCCCCTCCAAAGGTGACAGAACAGGCAGCCCGGGGCCGCCCTTGCCGGCAATCTCAGCAAAAACGTGTTTGTCTTCGAGCGCCTCAATCCCGTCCACCGCGAGTCCACACGGCGACGCCGCGCTCCCCAGCTCTCCTTCCCAGGCCTGGCGGCACGGAAGCCAGAACCCCCCGCTCCCGGCCGCCACAGCTTCCAGCGCAGCCCGATGCCTCCGTACCAGACCCGATGGGGCTACCCTACCCCTGGGCGGAAAAAGTAGCCCTGCGCGGAGGCACCCGGATAAGGATGGCAGCGGATAGAGCTGCAACTCGATGCCAATATTGCACAACTAAAGCACACTCACCATCTTGAGCCGCTGGAGCAGAGAGAAAGGCTAAGGAATTGTGGGTAATATGTAAGAGGCCTTGGAGATCGCGAGAACTAGGGCCTGCGCGGGATTTCAGATTTAAAGTGACAGATTTCCTTTAAATCGTAAAGTTGGGGACCGAGTCGCTAGCGGCGGTGCAGCCGGAAGGCTAGGGCGGGGAGAAGACTGCGACTTCTGTCCGGCCTGGTGAGCGACGCCGGTAAGTGCAAACTTGGGAGTGCTGGTCTCGGCGCTCTATCTGGCCTTGCAGACACGCGCTTGGGATACTCAGGCTTCCCGAGCAGGGGTGGCTTCTCTTAAGTGCGACTTTCCCTCCCCTCAAAACACTGGCGCGGAGAGAACACAAAGGGTTGGTTCAACTGTTCTCCTGCTCCTAGCGAGCGGCTCTGCGGGTTGGGTCCCAGGCCGAAAACAGGCTGCAGGGCAGGGTCGGGGGTGGGAGCCAGAGGGCAGCGCGGTGGGGTGGGGTGGGGGGGCTGCTGAGAGGGCAGAGGGGCCCGGGGGCGGGCAGTAAGCGGAGGAATGATGTCCTTAAGACCCTGTCCCTGCAGCGGGGCGGGAGGAGCGACGGGGCAGGGAGCGGCAGGAAAGGTAATTGCGCAGGGGTAGGGTCCTAAGGCCTCGCTGGATGAGGGGTTGAAGATGGGAGCAGCCTGCTAAGAAGTCCTGCCTGGACACGCTCACAGGCAGGGCCTGTGCCTTGAAAAATCTGAGCTGGAGCCGGGGCAAGGGGTGGTGGCTCCTGCCCAGGAAGAGAGATGGGCGAACGGGAGTCCCAGCCCCTCTGCAGCGCCTGCTGAGCGAGCTTGGCTGTATTTGAAAGGTTGAGTCTGTTTAGCAGACAGGGAATCTCCAGAAACCTGCCGTGGTGGGGTGGGGCGCAGAGACTGGCTCTGTCCACACTGAGGTGGGTCCTGCACTCTGGGTCCCAGGCCCTCGCCATGGCCCAGCAGAGAGCCCTGCCCCAGAGCAAAGAGACGTTGCTGCAGTCTTACAACAAGAGGCTCAAGGACGACATCAAGTCCATCATGGACAACTTCACTGAGATCATCAAGACTGCCAAGGTGGGTGCTGCCCTGCCCCCTCCAGAGACCGCCTGAGGGATAGGGTGTGGGGAGAGGGGGTAGGGAGGAGAGAGCTAGTGATTGGTCTACCCTGGTGAATAGTGGTCCAGGTAGGGAGTCTGCTCTCAACAGCACCCACCATACATGGAGCCCATACTCTGCTGGGGGTAGATGCCACATCGAACAGGACAGGCAACAGGTCCTTGTGCCCATGGAGAAAGCATTTGGGGGTGGAGGTGGCAGGGATGTTGACAGTAAATCAGGTCAATAGATAAGTGAGCAGCCTGGTAGTTACAAGTCCTGGTAAAACACAGTCAAACTCTAGCCAAACTGCCTTGGCTACAAATCCAGCTCACTAGTGGCAGTGGATGGGATGGAGACTTCAGTGCCTCTATTTCCCTCACACCCTGTGGTCCTTGTGATGGTTGAAGAGCTTGTGAGGCAATTACCCAAGGTCAAGAGTGAGTTACCCAAGGCAGTTATCCATGGTCAAGGTTGAGTGCTAAACCCTGTGCTATTATGAGCGAGCTGGAGAGAAGCAGAGGGGGCCCCTCCAGGCAGATGGAGTGAGCTCACTGACTGCTCAGCTACAGCAGATGGGGCTAGATCTCGCAGCTGCTGCAGACTTGCTGACTACTGGGGATGATGATGGGAGCCCTTACGTGGTGCTCACTATGCCAGGCCATGCCCTGTCCCATCCAGTCTCCAAGAGTGCTACAAGGAGCTGGGCGAGGTGGCTCAGGCTTGCAATCCCAGCACTCTGGAAGGCCAAGGTGGGCAGATCGTGTGAGCTCATGAGTTCGAGACCACCCTGAGCTAGAGTGGACCCTATCTCTAAAAAAAATAACTGGGCATTGTGGCAGGCATTTGTAGTCTCAGCTACTGGAGAGGCTGAGGCAAGAGGATTACTTGAGCCCAAGAGTTTGAGGTTGCTGTGAACTAGGACGCCACAGCACTCTACCAAGGGTGACAAAGTTAGACTCTGTCTCAAAGAAAAGAGTGCCACAACTCAGGTGCTGTGCCCTCCACCCATGCTCCAAGGAGGACAGTAGTGAATGGTAGAGCCAGAATTTGATAGCTGTCCCCAGCCCATCCCCCTACAGGGCCCTGTCAGGAAGCCTGTCTAGATTGATGACCAGACCCTCTAGCTGGATGTTGGGTCTGCCATTAACCACTGGTCACCCGCACTGCTCTGCCCAGCTGTCAGTCCAGGCATCTTTGAAGATTTCTTGAGCTAATGAGGGTTAGATGCTTTTCACAGTGCCTGGCAGCCAGGGAACAGTTGGAAAATGGTTGCTAAAAAATACATACATTGTCCTGGCCAGCTGCTGTGGCTCACATTTATAATCCTAGCATTCTGGGAGGCCAAGGTGGGAGGACTGCTTCAGCTTAGGAGTTAAAGACCAGCCTGAGCAAGAGCGAGACCCTGTTTCTACTAAAAATAAAAAAAAAAAAAAATACAAACAGTCGGGCATTGTGGTAGGTGCCTTTAGTCTCAGCTACTCAGAAGACTAAGGCAGGAGGATCACTTGCGCCTAGGAGTGTGAGGTTGCTATAAGCTAGGCTGATGCCACAGCACTCTAGCCTGGGCCATAGAGGGAGAATGTATCTCAAAAAATAAATAAATAAGTAAAAAATACACATTGTCCTTTACTCATCCATTCAAGAGTTTATCAAGTGCCTGAGTGAATGATACCATCCCTACCAAACAGGGCTCCCCCATCTCAAAAAGACTGGGCCAAGGCAAGACCCTGTCCCTGCATCTGGCACAGCGGTCAGCATGAGCTGGCTTCTGTCCTGACAGCTGCCTGTTGTCTCCCTTGGAGCAGACCCAGAGGGGCGGGATTGGGCCTTGCCAGGGGCCTGACAACAGAACATGGGTCTGTAGAAGGCACCTAGATAGGGTGTGGTGTGGACTTCTTGAGCAGGGGTGGGGACGTCTTGACTCGTCAGCTGAGCCAATTCTAGGCTTTCTTGTCTGCCCCTCAGATTGAGGACGAGACCCAGGTGTCACGGGCCACTCAGGGTGAACAGGACAATTACGAGATGCACGTGCGAGCTGCCAACATTGTGAGTTACCAGGGCAGAAAGCTTAGACTGGGCTCCAGGCGCATCAGGTCCCTCTGGAGGTGTCCTGTAGAGTGTAGGTCAATCCAGCACTGTCCTAGTGAGCAGCAGAAGGCATATGCAGAGATCTTTGGTTTTACCCCTGGAAACTTTTGAGAACAAGATTGGTGGCCAATCATCTGTCAGGAGATTGTCTTTAGTGGGAGCATGTTGGAGAGAGGCTGGGCCGATGGCTGCTGCATCCACCTTGTACCCGTGCAGCCATTAGGAGGGCAGCCCTTCTGCTGACCTGGAATTTCCTGAGGTTCCTTATGAGTGAAAAGGCAAATTACTGAATGGAAATGTATATGTGGTTTAATCCCTTCTGATATCACTAGGTAGACACAGCCAGCATCTCCCTGAGTGTGTGTGCGTAGGGTAGACATGTGTAGGAAAGGGTCCCAAGGGATCCTGCCCACCTGGCAGCCCTGCTTGTCCTGGGTGCCGTAGCTTTAGCTGTGGGACTAAGTTTTTACTGCACACAGTGTTTGTGGGGGTGACTCTGGTTGGAGGTCAGTCCTTTGGGTGTGGGGATGAAGGCTGAGGTGAGACAGGGCAGGAGCAGTGGGTGAGTCCCAGGCACAGCTGATGAAGCCAAAGCTCCCAGTGGCCACTGTGCCCCTCACCCCATGCCTGCCCTGGTTCTGCTGGTCATAGGTCCGGGCCGGTGAGTCCCTGATGAAGCTGGTGTCTGACCTCAAGCAGTTCTTGATCCTCAATGACTTCCCATCAGTGAACGAGGCCATTGACCAGCGCAACCAGCAGCTGCGTGCACTGCAGGAGGAGTGTGACCGCAAGCTCATGGCGCTGCGTGACGAGGTCTCCATTGACCTGTATGAGCTAGAGGAGGAATATTACTCGTCCAGGTACAGATAGGGCTGGGACCCGCTGAGCGGGCCTGCCCACCTGGGCTCAGCCAAGACATAGCCCCTGAAGGGCTTCTGTTTTTCCAAACCCTTGTGGGTCTTGGCAGTGGAACTGGACAAGTCACAGCAGTGTGGGGTCCTGGGCCTTTCCCACAGTGCAGCGTGATGGAATCATGGGACTTTTGTCACTCGGGGAGGCCAAGTCTGGGGGGGGTGGGCACCTACCTGGCATCTCCCTGAGGCCCTCAGCTGAGAGCCTCCTCCTCCTTCTCCTGCCCACTGGGCCTTGCTGCTCCTCTTAGCCCTACAAGTCAATATTCAAACATTCTAGCCAAGGCTGGCTGGCCCCTCTTGGGTACCCAGGCCGCTACTTATGTTCAGGAAACAAGTGCTTGCCCAGGGATGGGATTCCATGTGGCTGTGACTGAACCCACAGTGTGGAGTTGTGGGACAGTTTTGGGAGGGAAGAGGGAAAAACCCAAACACAGGCTTGACACCCATAGCACAGTGGCTACTGTGCCGGCCACATGCACTTAGGGTGGTGGGTTCAAACCCGGCCCGGGCCTGCTAAACAACAGTGACAATTGCAAAAACAAAAAAGTAGCCAGGCATTGTGATGGGTGCCTGTAGTCCCAGCTACTTGGGAGGCTGAGGCAAGAGAATCGCTTAAGCCTGAGAGTTGGAGGTTGCTGTGAGCTGTAATGCCACGGCACTCTACTCAGGGTTACATAATGAGATTCAGTCTCAAAAAAAAAAAAAAAAGAAAGAAAGAAAAGAAAAACCCAAGGAGAGAATGGCATGTAAGCTGGGTCTCGGGGATGTCGATCTCCAGCTTTTGATCAGCTCATCCTGTTCACAGAGCTGGAGCCTCATGGGGCCACATAGATGCCTGAAACCACGTGAACTGAAGGCTTCCTGAGAAATAAGAGTCCAAGTGCATTTATGTAGGGGGAAACTGAGGCTAGAAGCAGGCGTTGCCCTTCTGCCTCCATTAGGTTAGGAAATTAAGATTTGGCCTGGCTGACCAGAGTCCACAGCCACCCTACATCCTGTCCCAGACAAGCCTCCTTTCCTCCCTGGTTGTGAGCCAAAAATGCCATACTCTGCCCTGTAGCCATGCTAGTGAGTCCAGATATCTTGAGCTAGCATGGTCTGGGACTTGTTTTCTCGGCCTGAACTCAGTGTCACTGCCCAGCAGGAACAGTTCTAGAGTTGTGCACAGGATTCTGGGACCATCTTTGGTCCCTGATATTCATCAGTTCAGCAGATAGGTAGCAGGTCTCCTACCTGCTAGGAGTCCTTGCATACCCCTCCAGCTATGTGGCTCCATAGACTGGCTTGACTGTGCCCCTGGACCAGGAGCTGTGGGGTGAGGCGTTGGGGAGATCTGTCCATGGCCACACAGAAAAGCTGGGTGGGACCCAGGCGCCTGCATTCCAAACTTTCCCCATCTTCCCCCAGGGATTCTGTCCTGTTCACTCCAGCCACCCCAGGTCCCTCAGGAAGGCTGCTGGCCCCACCCCATCACACAGTTGCCCCCTCCTCACTTGGCCCCAAAGGAGGGTCACCCCCTGTGGCACACCTGCTCCCCGTTGCCCCAGCTGCCCATGCTTGCTTGCCCACTCCATGCTCGCTCATTTGCTCTTTCTGGCTATGCCTCTCCCTCTCCACTCTCCTCAGGGCACCATGGTGCCCTGGGTTGACACTAGGGCAAGACCAAGGGAGGGGGGCAGGGCTGCCCTTTGCACCTTAGGACCCATGGGCAGGGCTCCTGAGTCATGACCACAGAGGTTAGAGTGAGCTATTTTCTGTGCCAGGCCCTGAGCCTTCACTCTTACCCAAGCTACCCATGTTGGAGGTGGGGATACCTGTTGGGGGCCTCCCGCTGGTGCATGGAAGTGTCAGGGCCTGTGTTCCTAACCTCTGCCCCCCCCTTCAAGCTGAGTCTCAGGCAGGCACTGACCCAGAAATAAGACAGGGTCTCTGCCCTCAGGGAGCTCTTTGCTAAGTGCAGCGACCTGAAGACCTATGAACTCCTGTAGCTGGGAGGGGGAGGGTAGCAGGCCTAAGTGGAAGCAGAGTAGGAAGGGCCTGCCAAGGTCACACAGCCTGCAGTGGCTGGGCCAGGCTGGCTACCTCCTTTAAGGAGGTGAGGGCAGCCCCGTTATCCCCCATTTTAGCTGGCCAAGTGAAGGAGGGGAAGCAGGCCTGGGCCTGGGCCACGTTTCCTTAACTCTGCTTCTGTCTCGCTCCCCGGCTCTCCTCTCTGCCTGCTCCTGTCTCGCCCTGGGGTTTCTGGTGGTGGAAAAGTGCCAGCCTTTGCGAAGCTAGTGACCTGCCTCTTTGCGAAGCTTACTGGAGGCTGGACGTCGACACAGACTCTGCTGATGGCCTCTCGGCCCCTCTGCTGGCGTCCCCGGATCCCAGCGCTGGCCCCCTACAGGCCACAGCCCCAGCCCATTCCCATGCCAGTGGCCCTGGGCCCACAGAGCACGCCTGAGCCTTGGGGCTGCCCTCCCAGCCCTGGCTTCTCAGGAGCCAAACCAGAGCTCCCTTGGGATGTGCACCTCGGCCTCACTCCTGTTAGCCTTGGTTCTCCCGTGGGGACTTCAAGACCCCGGAGCCACTATGGCCTCCCTAGGAGCCTCATCAGCCCAGGGTCAGCCCAGCCAGGATGGTTGAGAGTTGTTTCTCCAGCCACTTCCAAGTGCCCATACTTCTTCCAGGCATCTCCTTCTGCTGTCTTCCTGGCCAGCCAGGTGGAAGGAGGCTTCTGGGACAGGTCTGTCCTGCCAGGGACTTGAACAGAGTGGGGCAGGCAGGATACCTAAGATAGGGGAACCTGACCTGAGCATGTTGTTTGAAATTGGGAGGGGCTCTGAGTGGAGCCAAGCCAGGGCTCCTGGGCAAATGTTGTGGCCCAGTGACTACCCTGATAGGGCTGAGTGAGGGGACTGCCCACTCATGCAGAAGCCTGCTGGGGGCTCCTTAACTTGCTGCCATGTACTTTCTGGCTGTCTTGAATAAAAACTCTTTTGCATTGGTTCTTCTTCCTTCCTCTTTCCTGATAAGTCCAGGACCATCCTTGATCACCCAGCCCTCTGGCATTTAAGAATGAATGAAAAGCTGCTGCCCTCATTGTATGTTATGGAGTCCAGGTATCTGGACCTCTGATGGTATCCAGTCCTCATCACCCCCAAGTCAGTGCTGTTAGTAGCTGCATTTCAGACAGCAGTGGACACATGCTCAGAAGAGGTAAGGTGCTTTGCTCACAGCCACAGAGCTGGGAAGCGAAGTGGCACAAATCAAGACTTGATGTCAATGCAGAAGCCAGAGCCCTAAGCAGGAAGGGGGTGTCACGCACCTATAGAACTGGGCTTCAGACCTGCCCCTACCTGCTGTGAATGTATTTTATCCCTTTCTCACGAGGGAAACTATCATGCCAATATATGGGTGAGGTGACAACCTGAGATCCATCACCATGGCCCCCAGGCCAGCAGAAGGTACCAGATAGGCAGAAGCGTAGAGTCCAGTCCTGGCTGTGGATTCTAGGTGGTCTGGGGAAGTCAACTTCCGCTCGGAAGGAGTTTCCCAACTGTTAAGATGAATAATTTTTTTTTGGAGACAGGGTCTAACTCTCTCACCCAGGCTCGAATCCAGTAACATCAAACTTTTGAGCTCAAGCAATGCCCCTGCCTCAGCCTTCCAAGTCTTTGGGACTATAGGCATGTGCTACCATGCCCAGCTAACTTTTGTATTTTTCTTTAGAGACAAGAGTCTCACTGTGCTTCCCAGGCTGCTGTCAGACTTCTCAGCTCAAGCATGTCATATTTTGATCCCAAACTTTTTATTTTGAGAATGTTCACAGAAAGGTTATAAAAGTAATGTAAAATACACCCACGCAGATCCTTTTGGGTGGTTCCCCTTTTGCTTGCTTTCTCCTATATCCTTGATTTCAAACCTAACCCCAAAGTATTTTATCAACTTGCCTTTGTAAGCACTAGTCTCCTTCACAGCCTATTAACCATCATCAGAACTAAAGTCCTTTACTCTGATTATTACCCACGTCTTTTTTTCTTTTTGGGGGGGGGGGTACAGTCTCACTCTGTTGCCCAGGCTGGGGTGCAGTGGCATTAGCGTAGCTCACAGCAACCTCAAACTCCTGGGTTGAAGAGATCCTCCAGCCTCAGCCTCCCAAGTAGCTGTGACTACAGGGGCCTGTTACAACGCCTGGCTAATTTTTCTATTTTAGTAGAGATGGGGTCTCTGTCTTGCTCAGGCTGGTCTCCAACTCCTGAGCTTAAGGGATCCTGCCACCTCAGCTTCCCAGAGTGCTAGGATTATAGGTGTGAGCTATTGCACCTGGCGTCCAAAACTTTTAATACATTTTTATTTTGCATTGCATTTGGTTGGTATTTTGTGATTTTTTAAAAATTTTTTTTTCGTGTAGTTTTTTAAAATCTAAAACAGGACTAGAGTGGCAGTGAGACAGAAGTGGGTCAAGTCCCATTCTGGATCTACTGTGAAGGTAGGTACAGCCAGCAGGATTTGCCAAAGTGTTGGATGTGGAATACGAAAAGGAGCCTGAGTGGCATTGAGGTTCTGGCTCAAACACCTGGAAGAAAAGACGCTTCTTAAGCTGAAATGGAAGAGGCAATGAAAGAAGGGGACAGGGTGCGGGAGGGCGTATCCCCCTTCTGTACCTAATAGATAATGGTGGGGAGTCGTCGGAGTAGACAAGCCCATCCTGTGCGTAAAACATCACCTCATTACAGAGGTTAGGGACGAAAAATTATGGTTTAAGGTGGATCTTAGCAGCAACCCTTTCAAATAAATAGCCTCTGAAAGATGTAATCTAAGACCACAAGCCTCCTATTTCCACCGCAGGGCAACCTCGCCAGGCGCTCTGTGGACTGAACAAAAAAAGCCAGTAATTTTCCTGCGTAGGAAATGGAGTGTGGTACTCCCTGGCCCCAGGCTAGGGTCCTCGCCTTTCTCCCGCCCATTGTCTCGTAAAGGACAAGTCCCGTGTTAAAACTCTTAGTCCATGATTCTACTTCTCAGAGCCAAAAAGTCAGCGCCCCAGCGGGTCTTCCCTGAACACCCCGTTCGGTCCTTCTCGAAACCCCATTAGTTCCATCCCCGGAGCGCCCTCCTTAGCCCGCACCTGATGTGACACAGTTCACACGTGACTGGCTACCAGTCACCGCCAAGACAAAACCTTGACGAGAACCTGTCGGTGAACGTTTCCACCCCGCTCAACCCGCCTGCCTGTCCTGCGCTGTGCCCGCCACAGGCTGCGGCGCCTGAGGGCTCCGCCCGCTCAACCCCTGCCGTTGAGCGCCTGCAGTGTGGGCGAGAGGCAGAGGTCCCGGGGTCAGCATCCTCCAGCCCGGCCCACAATGCTTTGCACCTCTTCCAGCGGGGCCAGACCTGGCTAATCGAACCCCCTGGCGGGCGTCTCGGCGCTCGGCTGGCGGTGCCTGTGCGCGCGGCGGTTTCCGGCGGTCCGGGCCACGAGCGAGTTGAGAGTTGTCCTGACCTCAGCTATGGCCTCCCTGCTGGCCAAAGACGCCTACCTGCAGAGCCTGGCCAGGAAAATCTGCTCCCAGCCCGGCCCAGAATCGCAGAAGCGCCAATGGGGTAAGGCGCCGGCCAGCACCCGGGTCTTCGGGTGGGCGGCCGAGTCTGTGAAGTAACGGAGGAAAGTGAGGGTGGCGGTTACCGCGCCCTCCGCTTCCCTTGTTACGGAGTCAGCCCGAAGCTGCCGCCGGGCCTGAGGGATCCCGGCCCCTGCCCAGCTTGCAGGGAGGAGGGAGCCGCGTGGTAGCTGCTCTCCGCCGCCGGGCGTCCTGAACTGGTCTCACCGCGCCGCCCTGGGGGGGAGACAGACGGTCCGTCGGCGAGAAGTGCCGGTTTAGCCGGGGTGTGAGGAGGAGGAAGATGGAGCGCCCGCCGACGGGGCGCGTACCGGAGGGACCCCGCTCCGGGCAGTGGCCTGGAGGAGGGACGCCGCAGGTGGAACTACCAGACCCGGACAGTTTTTCTTTTTTATACAAGGAAAGTTTATTCGTTGCAGAAAATCCGAAAACTTAGCAGCTGTTCCCTGATTGATTTATCCCAGTCTGAATCTCCAGTTTTCTCAAATTCAGCCTGCTTTATTCTTTTCTTGCCTCATCTCTCGGTTGCTTATAAGATAGAATCGTTTAACACCTCTAATATCGGCTCGGCACCTGTGGCTCAAGTGACTAAGGCGCCAGCCACATACACCTAAGGTGGCGGGTTTGAATCCAGCCCGGGCCCCCGCCAAACAACAATGACGGCTGCAACCAAAAAATAGCCGGGCGTTGTAGCCGGCGCCTGTAACCCCAGCTACTTGGGAGGCAGAGGCAGGAGAATCGCTTGAGCCCAGGAGTGGGCGGTTGCTGTGAGCTGTGATGCCACGGCCCTCTACCCAGGGGAATAGCTTGAGGCTCTGTCTCCAAAAAAAAAAACCCTAATATCTTCAATGAGTTTTCTCGTCACCAGTCATAACTTCAGTCTTTTACTTTTCCTATGTGTTTGTTTATTTATTTATTTTTGAGACAGAGCCTTGAGCTGTCGCCCTGGGTAGAATGCTGTGGCATCACAGCTCACAGCAACCTCCCACTCCTGGGCTCAAGCAATTCTCCTTCCTCTGCCTCCCAAGTAGCTGGGGCTACAGGCGCCCGCTACAACGCCCAGTTATTTTTTGGTTGCAGCCATCATTGTTATTTGGCGGGCTCAGGCTGGATTTGAACCCGCCAGCTCAGGTGTATGTGGCTGGCACCTTAGCCACTTGAGCCAGAGGCGCCGAGCCTTATGTGTATATTTAACTTGTGACAATTCTACTTTTACTCTACATACTCATTTCTCAAATTGAAAATGTAAACATCTGCCCATCCATTAAAATAAAACTTGTGTCATTATTTTTGACAGCTATGTAGTGGTTTGTTGTGCAGCAATACCATAATTAGTTGCTGGAGGTGACTATTTACGTTCTACTTATTTTTCACTCAGCTGACATGATGAACATCTTTGAGGCCAAATCTTTGTGCATGACAAATCCTCAAGCAGAACTGCTGGGTTAAGGGTGTTTTTCTGAGTTTTTGATGTGTAGACAGACTGCTGTCTACAACTGCAGTTCTGGGTTCTGTGGATAAGTATCTGTGGCTCCTCCATCCTGATTTTTTGTCTGTATTCTTCTGAGATCAAACCTTTTTCAAGACTTTACTGCCTGTTGAATGGGCCACACAGATGAGGATGGCAACTGTTTCTCATTCTGTATTCCAGCAGGCAAAACTAAAGGCTCAGAAGCTGCTGGACACCCAAAAAAGAAGAGGAAGAAGACACCAAAGAAATTCCAGAAGCAGGAAGAGAAGGCTGCTGATACCAAGGCCAAGTCCCTGGGGAAGAAGTCTCTAGGGAGTTCTGGGGATAGAAGGCCAGAGGAAGCCAAAGAGAAGGAGCTTTCCAGCTCCACAGTGGCCCCTGCAGGTGAGAGGCTCCAGGGCCCTGAGTCACAGGCTGCAGAAGTTGGAAGAAAGAAGTGGCTTGGCCTCTATCGCAGGCAGTGTTTCCTCATACCATAGTACTACCTCATGAGGCAGTCAGTTGCCTGCCTTGGAGGATTCTGTAAAGACCACTCCAAATTGGAGAGGTGGAATAGAATTTATTGGAATTGTCCTGGAGTCTTATGAGTGGCATGGAGGCTGGGAGTGGAACAGGGAGGGCAGTGAATAGAGACTTAGGCTTAAATGCTGGGCCCCAGGATGGAGGGAAAAGGTCGGAGAGAGGCCCTGTTTAGTCCTGTCTCTGTCCCTGCAGATGGCCTGGCCACAGGGCCCGATTCTCTTTTTGCCCTGGATGTTCTTCGACAGCGACTACATGAGAGGATCCAGGAGGCCCGGGGCCAGGTAGGTGGGGAGCCCTCACAGAGCACTGGGGGTGCTTACCTCAAGCCTCGTCTGTTCCCAAGTCTGCAGCAAGTCCTCTCAGAGCCTCAGCTGCTTTTTTGAGAAAGCAGGCGTAGTCCTTGCTTTCTTGGAGAACCTCAGTCCCCAAGGTTCCAGCCTTGGGGACTGAGGCTATTCAGTCCCCATCTGGCTATTCTGATGTCGCTGGTTCTTATTTTTGCTGGGCCTTGGAGAGAAGCCCATCTTTGCCCCTCCTGGGAAGCTGCCTTTTCTGAAAACCATGTGGGCTGGGGACTTGCATCTGTTCCTCTAAATGTCACGGTGGTCCTGTCAGCTGTGCCAGTGCTGTGACCAGTCCAGCCTCAGTCTTATGTTAAGTAACTGTCTCCCGTCCAAGTTGGCCTTGGCCTACCCTTTCCCTGGGTCTTTCCCTCAAGACTCTTGCTCTGTGGGGGACAGTCCCTAATTTCCCACCCTCCCAGGAAAACCCCAGTGGTCATCCCTGGGGTATGATGTCTGGTTTCTCAGAGGTGATCAGGACTCTGGGCCCTCTTTCCTGCAGCACAGGACTAATTCAGTCAGGTGTGAGGCATTCTTGATGGCACCAGGGTAGGAAAGGCAGTTGGGAGATCAGAGTTTGGATACACCTGAGCAGAATGGGTGGCGGTCAGGACAGGTGTTTAGGCATGAAGACCTGTCTCCAAGTTCTGGGTGGCAGTATGTGACCCAGCACTTGGTAATTTGCCTGGAAACTGGAAGCCCTGATTCTTACTCGTCACTCCCTGTTCCTTCTGGGTCACATGCATTTCCGCAAATGGATCGTGTTGTGTTGCAATACTTAACTCAGTGAGCCCCTCAGGTGCTTTCTGGCCCTGATTCCCTGGACGTCCTGCCAGCGTCGCCCCTCAGGTGCTTTCTGGCCCTGATTCCCTCTCAGCCATGCACACTGGGGGCCCTGAGGTTGGGAGAACTTAAATACGTGAACACCAGGTTTCCCCCCAGAGCAAGGAGCTGTCCCCTGCCACTTTGGAGAAAAGACGCAGGAGAAAGCTGGAGCGAGACCGGAAGAAGAGGAAGCGAAAGGAGCTGCGGGCCAAGGAGAAGGCAACCAAGGCCGAGGAGGCTGCTGAGCCAGCCCCAGAGGCAGCCTGCGATAAGCCCGTGGAGCCAGTGGGCCTGATCTTCAACAAGGTGAGCGGGACTTCACACCCGTGGGCGCCAGCTGCTGGCCTCAGTTGAGTGACTTTTCTCTGGACCCTGCCACACTTCTGTAAGTGGTGATGGGTAACTAAGCTGGGGGGGGGGGGGAGCGTGTAACGGGTGTGAAATTGTCACTGACTGACTGTCGCTGTGACTCCTCCCCAGGTGGAGGTGGGTGAGGACGAACCGGCCAGCAAGGCACAGCGGAGGAAGGAGAAGAGGCAGAAAGTGAAGGGGAACCTCACTCCGTTGACAGGCAGAAACTACCGGCAGCTGCTAGAGCGTTTGCAGACACGGCAGAGCCGGCTGGAGGAGCTGCGGGACCAGGACGAGGGGAAGGCGCGCGAGCTGGAGGCCAAGATGGGCTGGACCAATCTGCTGTACAAGGCCGAGGGCGTGCGCATTCGAGACGATGAGCGCCTGCTACAGGAGGCCCTGCGGCGCAAGGAGAAGCGCAAGGCACAGCGGCAGCGCCGGTGGGAGAAGCGCACGGCGCACGTGGTGGAGAAGATGCAGCAGCGCCAGGACCAGCGGCGCCAGAACCTGCGCAAGAAGAAGGCGGCCCGGGCAGAGCGCCGCCTGCACAAGGCCCGCAAGAAGGGCCGGATCCTGCCGCAGGACCTAGAGCGGGCTGGCCTCGCCTGAGCGCCTTCCCCACCATGGCTTTCCTGCACCTGCCCAGTGGTGTGAGGCCAGTGTGTCCCGTCACTCTGGCTCCTGGGCTTCTCCTTGTGGAGTGGGCGCCGTTGAGCTTATCTCTTGAATTGAGGGCTTAGATCATGCCTGCAAAATAAAAGGTCCGGGTTGGCATAGTGGCTCACACCTGTAATCCAGCACTCTGGGAGGCTGAGGCTGGTGGATTGCTTGAGCTCAGGAGTTGGAGACCAGCCTGAGTAAGAGGGAGGCACGTCCCTACTAACAATAGAAAAAAAAACAAGCCAGACATTGTGGTGGGCGCCTGTAGTCCCAGCTAATCGGGAGGCTGAGGCAAGAGGATTGCTTGAGCCCGGGAGCCCAGTTTGAGGTTGTTGTGAGGTATGACACCATGACACCCTATCCAAGGTTACAGAGTGAGACTCTGTCTCAAAAAATAAAAAAGTATTTCCACCATCTCCTTGGAGGCATCTCCCAGATCTTGCAGACCCCAGGGCAAGGGTAGACCATATCCAGCATTCTCTGTGAGGCCAGAAGGCTTACCAAAAGTCTACAGAGTCAGGGAAGAAGCAGTGTGGACAGGGGTTGGGCGGGACACTCATGCCCCTCCTCCCTGGCCCGGGTTCACAGGATGTAGGACAGGGAGAATGGCTTTTGCTGGCCCAGGAGGAGGTAGAGCCCCAGGGTGGATGGGTAGACTCCTATAGCACAAGGGAAGCGTCTTGGGGGAGGACACCGGGCCTTTTTCAACTTTGGGGGCCTCTATGCATTTTGTCTCTGCTCATCAGCATCCTCACATTTGGAATTCACAGGGAGGGAGCTGTGCTTTCCAGGTTGGGGGAGGGGGGCACTGTTTCATGGGTATCTGAGCCAGCTGTGGGCAAGAGGGCTGTGGTGTAGACAGGCCTTCGGTTCTTCCCTGCCCTTCTCTGGTGAGCAGAGCAGAGTTGGGTGACTTCTCGCCCATTTCTGGAAGCAGAGTGGCTCAGTAGTGTGGCTGGTGTTTCCTAAGTGTCTTGATGGAAGTAGACGACACTGATAGGCTGCTCAGAATGAGCTCCTGGTGGGGTACAGTGGCTGCCACCTGTGATCCCAACACTGAGAAGCCAAGGTAGGAGCTCTCTAGGTCAGGAGTTTGAGACCAACCTGGGCAACAGAGAGGTGCTGTGTATAGAAAGGATACAAACTGGCAGGGCTAAATTTAATGAAAGTTTCTCTCCTAGCTACATGGGAGGCTGCAGCAGGAGGACTACTTGAACCCAGAAGTTGGAGGCTGCAGAGAACTGTGATCGTGCCACTGTACTCCAGGATAAAAGAGCAAGACCCTGTCTCTTAAAGAGGGGTTGGCACCTGTGGCTCAATGTGTAGGGCACTGGCCCCATGTACCAAGGGTGGCAGGTTCAAACACAGCCCCGGCTATTTTTTTGTTGCATTTGTCATTGTTGGTTAGCTGGCCTGAGCTGGGTTTGAACCTCCCACCTTCAGTGTGTGTGGCTGGCACTGTAACCACTGTGCTAGGGGTGCCAAACCCAGTTTTTCTATTTTTAGTAGAGACAGGGTCTTGATTTTTGCTCAGGCTGGTCTCCAACTTGTAAGCTCAAGCAGTCCACCCACCTCGGCCCCCCAGAGTGCTAGGATTAAAGGCATTAGCCTCCATGCCTGGCCTGAGAAATAATTTTTATTTAGCTGCAATGGGTGTAGACAATTGGCAGTTGATATCTGTGTCTACCTTGGCCGTGAGCTGAAGCTACATGCTGCTGCGGTGGCTTATGCTTGACGACTAGCACAGGAGGTATGCTGGGACCCAGTGTGCCTGAGCAGGGTCCCTCCAGCGAGCAGACTGCTCCAAGTTCCCCGTTGGGTTCTGAGACTGTGGGCTCTGCGTGGTGACCTGAGGTCTCCTTTCACAGGCCTGTGTGTCCTGTCCTCATCTTTCATGGACTATCTTGGCCTGCATATGGCTTGTCCTTGCCAAGCCTCCTATTGAAGTTTGATTCCCAGTGTTCGAGATGGGACTCATGGAGGTGTTTGGGTCATGGGGCTTCGTGCCATTTACAGGAGCGAGAACTGACTGTTGAAGGGCCTGGCACTCCCCTCCTGTCTCTTTCCCCTTCTCTCACCAAGTGTTTTGCACACCAGTCTCTTCACCTTTCACCATGAGGTGAGGGAAACAGCCCGAGTCCTCCAGACATAGGTGCTGATGCTGTGCTTGTACAGCCTGGAGAACCCTGAGCCAAGTAAGCTTCCTCGTAAATCTCCAGCCTCAGACTGTTCCCTTATAGCAACACAAGACCGGGCTGCCCCCTCAGCCTCTGTGCACTCCTACTTTGTCACCGTGTGTGTTTCCTGGAGGAATGAAAGTGACGACACAAAGCTCCCAACGTGTTCCAAGCAAGAATTAAACACACATACCTCTGGATATCTATGAATTACTCTACAGAGCATAAGGCGAGATCTTGCAGTCTATGACCCCTTAGCTAGAGAAAAAAGCATCCCCCATGAATGCGGACAGACAGCTGATTTTGCTAGAGGAACGTTGAAGCCTAAGAAACAAGAAAATAAGTCCACACCCTGTAAATACTTTCCACTTAAATGTCAGTTGTTAGTCAACAACTAACAGGCCCACTGGCTGATGCCTATAATCCCAGCACTTTGGGAAGCCAAGGCAAGAGGATAGCTTGAAGCCAGGAGTTCAAGACCAGCAGGGGGAGTATAGCATGACCCCAGCTCTACAAAAAATAAACTCAGCTGGCATGGTGATACATGCCTATAGTTCTAGCTACTTACGAAGCTGAGGCAGAAGAATTGTTGAGATCTGGAATCTGAGGCTAGAGTGAGCTGTGATACTACCAATGCAATCTGGCCTGGCCACAGAGCAACACCCCATCCCTCAAAAAGAGTAAATAAAAGTATAAAAGTTGGCCAGGGCTCTGTGCCTGTGGCTCAAGCGGCTAAGGCGCCAGCCACATACACCTAAGCTGGCAGGTTTGAATCCAGTCTGGGCCCACCAAACAACAATGATGGCTGCAACCAAAAAATAGTTGGGCATTGTAGCTTGTGCCTGTAGTCCCAGCTACTTGGGAGGCACAGGCAGAAGAATCGCTTGAGCTCAGGAGTTGGAGGTTGCTGTGAGCTGTGATGCCATAGCACTCTACCCAGGGCCACAGCTTGAGGCTCTGTCTCAGAAAAAAAAAAAGTTGGCCGGCCCACTGGCTCATGACTGTAATTCCAGCACTCTGGGAGAACAAGGTGGGTGGATTGCCTGAGCTCATGGGTTTGAGAGCAGCCTGAGCCAGAGTGAGACCCTGTCTCTAAAAAAATCTGGGCATTGTGTCAGGCACCTGTAGTCCCAGCTGCTTAGGAGGCTAAGGCATGAGGATCGCTTAAGCCCAAGAGTTTGAGGTTGCTGTGAGCTGTGATGCCACAGCACTCTACTCAGGGTGACAGTGAGACAGTCTCAAAAAAATAAAATATAATTTAAAATAATAAAAAAAACAACAAAACAGCCAGGTATTGTGGCAGGCACCTGTGGTCCCAGCTACAAGTGGACCTCTGGGAGGTTGAGGCAAGAGAATAACTTGAGCCCAAGAGTTTGAGGTTGTAAACTGTGACGCTATGGCACTCTACCCAGGGTGACAGTTTGAGACCTGTCTCAAAAAAAAAATTATTAAAAAGAAAAAAATGGAAGCTCAGTGCCTGTAGCTCAAGTGAGTAAGGCACCAACCACATACACCAGAGCTGGTGGATTCAAATCCATCCCAAGCCTGGCAAACAACAATGACAACTGTAACCAAAAAGTAGCCAGGCATTGTGGTGGGTGTCTATAGTCCCAGTTACTTGGGAGGCTGAGGCAAGAGAATTGCTTAAACCCAAGAGTTTGAGGTTGCTGTGAGCTATGCTGCCACAGCACTCTACTGAGGACAACGTAGTGAGACTCTATCTCAAAAAAAAAAAAAATTATAACAGAAATTCCTAACAGGCTTGGTGCCTGTGGCTCAAGTGGCTAAAGCACCAGCCACACACCTAAGGTGGTGGATTTGAATCCAGCACAGTCCTGCCAAATAACAATGACAGCTAAAACCAAAAAATAGCCAGGTGTTGTGGTGGGTGCCTGTGGTCTCAGCTACTTGGGAGGCTGAGGCAGGAGACTCGCTTGAGCCCAGGAGTTGGAGGTTGCTGTGAGCTGTGATGCCACAGCACTCTACCCAGGGTGACAGCTTGAGGCTCTGCCTCAAAAACAAAAAAAAATTCCTAACAAACTATGAATTCAAGGGATGTCCTCAATCTGACCAAGGATTAAGATGTGGGACACACCTTGAAACTCCACCATCTGGGTCAGCCAGTTAGAGACAGATTAGAAGGAAGAAGGCTCCATGAATCCTCAAGAGGTGAGGTCCGCTTGGCGCCCATAGCTCAGAGGTAAGAGAATTGCTTAAGCCCAAGAGTTTGAGGTTGCTGTGAACTGTGACATTATAGTACTCTACTGAGGGCAACATAGACTCTGTCTCAAAAAAAAAAAGACTCTAAATTCCGTCTTTTTGAAATATTAAGACCACTGAACATCTGAAAAAGACATATTAGGCTTATTCGGTGCATTAAAACTGCATAGGAAATATTGTCAAATATGAAATGGTGGTTAATCTTCTGTGGATTATGCTTGTATATATACATACATGGTCTAATATTATGTAATATTAGTTTGTGTTAGTATACATTATCAGTGATAATTTTTTGATTCATAACAGAAAGTTGTTTTTGTATATATTATTGGTAGTAAGTTTTTGATTTATAACAAAGTATTTTTTGTAACTAAGTCCAAAGTTTATCCTTCAAGGAAAGTAATGAAAAGTTGACAGGTTGTCTTGTATACAAATTTCTGATAACTTTGGAGAGCATGTATAATCACACTAAAAACAAACTTCCAGGAGTTTAATTAGAAAGCTAAAATAAAATAGTTTTTTTTTTTTTTTCTTTTTTTAGAGACAGAATCTCACTTTATCGCCCTTGGTAAAGTGCTGTGGCATCACAGCTCACAGCAACCTCCAGCTCTTGGACTTAGGCGATTCTCTTGCCTCAGCCTCCCAAGTAGCTGGGACTACCTGGCTATTTTTGTTGCAGTTTGGCCATAGCGGAGTTCAAACTCACCAGTATGGGGCTGGCACCCTAATCACTGAGCCACAGGGACCCCCCAACAGAACAGA